CCGGGCAGATTTATTCCGTTCCTTTAAGTTCAAAATTATCCTAGGCACTGAATTTATAATATAAATATTTTCTGTACTCCTTTGTATTGTATTTGCGTTGCTACGCTACCAATACAATTTCCCTAAAAATATAAAGAAACCTCGCGAATAGAATATCCGTGCCGAAAGAATCACGCGCTTAAAATGCTTTTCAGTTATTCTGTAAGTTTGAATAATAAAGTCTGTTGTTGGATCAAAAATGGCGAGATTTCTGTAGAACTTCATTACAGACGTATAAAAGAATAAACATCTGGTGGTAGTCACTGGGATAGAAAGGTGAAACCAGCGTTTATTTAAAAACAAAAGAAATATACTACATGTGAGTATAAGATTTTATGAATTACTGTGCCATTTTATATGAAAATGTTTCATCTTATTATTGAATCCAACTAATAGTACGATATTCTACGTTTAAGCTTTTGGATTAAAGCTCAAAATATTTAGTCTGATTACGATGTTCTTTTAAATTTTGAGCTCTTGTATTAGAGTGGCAAATTTACTACATTAATATTAGTATATTTCTATTATGAAATTTGAGCTGTTGTATTAGAGTCCCAAATCAAGAATTTTGTTGTGTGAATCAAGTTAGAGGCTTGAATGTTTTTTGATTTACTTTACTAGAAGTTATTCAGAGCAAGCTTCGCAGATTTTTCGTTTATCGGAATGTACATACGTTTTATTGCTTTAAGTGTTTTAGGGAAAAAAAATGCGTTGCGTCTTACTTGAATTTCTAATAAAAAAAGGCTATATTGAGCAAGCTGATTGGAATTTTTGAAGACTAAAAGCCTTTTAAAATTAATTTTGAAACGCTGTCGAAGAGTTTTCTATTTCTAAATATGTCATTTCTTGCCAAGGGTAGAAAACAAGATTTAATAGAAGTAGCCGAAGAATTAGGTAAGGAAGTGCCGCTAACTATTAAGGTCCCAGAAATTAAAAAAAAAATACTCATTAAAAGTCACTTTTACAATGAGGGAAAGAAATTAAATTAATTCTAAACCGAATAATTGCTGAACGCCTGGCTCAAGAAGCGAATGAAGAATGCCTGGCTCAGGAAGCGAAAAAGAACAACATCTGGCTCAAGAAGCGAGAGAAGAACGCCTGGCTAAGGAAGCGAAAGAAGAACGTCTGGCTCGAGAAGCAAGCATATGTATTAGAAATAAAGCGGCTTGAATTTGAAAATCAAGTAATACGAGCTAGAGAGTCGACAAAATCCAGTTGTCACAATTTATTCCAAAGTTTGACGAAAAAAAGGATGAAATAGGACTACATTTGATGAATTTTGAGAGAAAATCTGAAATGGTTCAGGTTCCTAAGAAAGATTGGGTGGCTTATATTTTGGGTGTTGTACCTACCAAAATCTCCAATATGTTAGCCAGAGAACCATCTGAAGATGAACTAAGTACGAATATGTGAAAAATCTAATCTTAAGAAGATATAAACTTAACAGTGAAAAGCTGAAGCAATAGTTTTATCGACATCAAAAGACTCTTGAAAAATCTTGGAGAAATTATGCTCATGAACTTTATAGTTATTTTTTGGAGTGGATTGCGGATTTAGAAATTAAAACATTTGAGAATCTGAAAGATTTAATAGTTACCGAGCAAATTAAATATAGGATTCCCTTGGAAATAAAGGATCATTTTCTCAACCAGTGGATGAAATTAAAAACTCTTTATGAGCTAGCAGAAAAATTAGACGAGTATGAGCGTATTAAACAGATAAAGATTAATACTACCGTAACAGAGATCTAATCCAATTTTAGAACAAATAAATATGAAAACTAATTTTAAACTCAGTTTAATGGTTTCAGCCTTGATAATTCTGTAAAAGATAATATTTAATGTTTACGTAAACTTATTCTCCGAAAGAATATTATAGAACGTGTCTAGAATTCAAAGATTAGTTTAGAAAAGATTTTAAAATAAATTTTCTATTCTCTTTAATATTTAAGACCTAATAATGGAAATGGATGGATCTAATAATGAGTTCTGATATAGTTTCTTTCTTGTATGGTAGCCACATGCCGTTCGTTCTCTGCACCAAAGTATATTTTTTAAAATTTTAGACTGGTAAATAGAGCTTTCAACGAATATTATAAATAAATATATGCACAAAATCTAGAAATATTGTGTTCCTCTGAGTAAAATATTACTGAATACAATTTAAATTTTTCAGTTCACCCTGATCTTTAAGAGAGTTAAGAGGCCTACCAGCGGCCGAGCGGTAAAGTCCCTGAACACTGGTATTTCGGTTTGAGGTTTCGAATATCGCGAACGGGCTGACTGTATGGGCGCTTTCGTAGTAGCACTTGAGAGCTAGCTGTTGTGTGGCATTATGGAAAAGCATTCATTATGGCCTCATTTGCCTCATTATAGCAAAGCTTTGAGACAACCCTCGAGTATTTTGCCATAATAAAATACACCACACCATCTAAGTAAATCTGAACGCATTTCTGTGTTATCAGCATTAAATAAAATTAGATGTTATCTACAATTGTTTAATCTATGTTCAGAAAAAAAAAAAAAAAAAAAAAAAAAAAAAAGAACTCTTATACAACCCTGAGCAATGATTCATGAGCTAAACAAATAGCAGAGCTGTATGCAATGTGGAGTTCTTTTTCTATTAAAGTTTACAAATTTTATACTGCGAAAAAAAATGGGACAGTTCTATATCTACCGGTCTACTGGGCCGATCGACGAAATTCAACTTGCGTTTTTCATGCCTCGAAAGCGCGACTTAGGATATGTATTAGATTTATATATAACAATGCTCTACCACGGGTATTTTAACACAAAATCGGACTTTGCCTGAAATGACATGCCAATTCTTTTCCATATTTCAATTCTACGACTCAAATTATGCCAAACTGCCAAGTTTTGCAAAAATCGCCCGAGTAGTTTTTAAAAAATCAGCTCTCAAAATTTTAGCTCCTCAATGTTAATGGAATTTGAGATATATTTATTAATATCTCGTTTTTTATTAAACTTACTTGATTCCATCTTTCAGAATCTGAAATTTAAGCTTAATCCAAATATAATTCGTACATTTTTATGATGTATTTTTTAAATTTGTATTTTTAAATAGTTTTCATAAATTTTTCGGAAAAAAATCAATTGTAACCTATAAAATTTTTACCACCATCTTAAAGTAGATGTATTTCAAAGTATACCTGCAAATAATTAGCTATTTTTATTCAAAATTTCCTAAGATGTACGTGAATTTACATTTCGGCTCGTTTTGAAATTAAGCGTATTTATGATAAGCGATAATAACGAAAATGTGGTTTACGCACTTTGTTAAAATTATTTGAAAGTATGAACGGTGACTTCGTGGGCAGTGAAGAAAAAAGATGGTAAAACAGGTTCCTTTAAATTAAGAAGTTCGCCAAGTAAATTATTCTTGGCGAAAACTGGAAAAATACGCCAAGATAAACTTTTGAATTTCTCCTAAATTTTACACCAAGTTTTACAAAATTTAATATTTAGGCGTAACTTGAGTGGTAGAATCGAAATATGGAAAAAAAAATTGGTATGTCATTTCAGAAAAAGTCCGATTTTGTGTCAAAATACCTATCACTCTGAAATTCATGCTAAAAACTTTTATTAAAATCTTTTGTACTCGCCAAGATTTGCATTAGCGATTGTAAAGAAGAGAAGAAAAAAAGTAAAAACAGCAACAACAACAACAAAAAAAAATATTGCTGCAGAGTAGAAATAGGTAGCTATTGTGTAATCAAACAAATATTTCAATTTTGCATTCTTAATCGGTAATATTTCCGTAATATAATCAAAGCTGTTAAATTAATCAAGCTGCTGGCATAAAGATTTTCTTTAAAATGGACAGCAACTCGATATAATATCTATAATACTCTCTCTCTCTCTCTATATATATATAATATATATAAAATATCAAATAATATTGTTGCTTGGTATTTTCTAACTTTAGAAAAGGAAAGTCGTATTATATATTGGAATATTTTACTAGTTCTGAAGGCCAACAAAAAGTTACGTTGTTTTGCTGTGGCTAAAGACCTTTTTGAGAACTCCAAAAATCAAAGTTAGTTCTGTTCAACAACACCCATTTTCAAGGGTCGTTTTCCACAATTCTCGTAGAAAGCAGTATTAAAATTATTCAGATGTGAAAAATAATCTAATAAATCAAATAGAATTTTAAAAAATAAGAAGAAAAACTTGCTCTCTTGTGGAAACAATTTCATATTCGCGATCTCTCAGAAATTGTTTCTAAAACTCGGCAAAATAGTCTGTACTCGCTGCAGTCAAGTTACTACTCTGTTAATATCCTATATATTTTCCAAATCAAATATTCATAATACATTTGATAAATTAAAAAAAATTTAATTAAACGACATTTTTCATATCGTGCATGATATATTTAAAGCATTCAATTATTTTATTTAACCATAAGCCAATAAATATACCACGCATATTCATCTCAATTTATTTAATAGCTTCTAAATAATCATATATTATTTTAGCTTTCCTCCTATTTAAATCAGTTAAAAAGTTAAAAACGCATAAATAAGTAAGCCAAAGTCTGCTTTCTTTCAAACTACGAACAAGAGTACAAGTCCACTGGAGTTCTGTGATACTGTTAAACTCATTAACTATTATTATTAAAAAGGCTACTTATTCTGTTATTAAACACTTTTGTTAAACAGAGTTTCATTTAATAACCTTCTTTCGATATGAAACTCGTTATATTAGAACTTTTTATTATTTTTAATACAGATGTTGTTATACGACATAGTAGATATGTTAGTATTAAAATTTTATACGAAATAAAAAATTAAAATTTATCTCAACCAGTTAAATTAATTCAAATCGAAACGATTCTCAAATTCCAGCTGTTTTCCGCATACGGCATTTCTGAAAACAACACAATAACTAAGGTCACATGTGCATGGCTCAGTTTTCTCTCATTCAAACATGTCTGTTACTCACCCGGGAGGAGGGCCAGCGAGAGCAGGCAAGTAAGGAGCATAGAGAATTCCTCGGCCACCTCACGTGTGTCATCGGAGCCACCGCCTTCCGTCTCGTTCTTTCTCCGCTTCACGCCTTTCCAACCGACACTGGAAACGGGAAATTAGGATCAAGAGCTTTTCAGCCGATCCGTGAGTGGGAGGGACGCGACGAGGGCGACTCCACAGGCGAATGTTCGCACTACTTTTCCCCGAAAGGGTTTCTTTCGCTAGATATATTTCATTATTACAAAACAAATCATGAATCTAGAATTTTCACGTATTAAGCTGCTGAAAAATTATCATTAAAGACATTGTAAGGGTAATGTTAATTTTATTAACAGTAAATTTTGAGTTAAACTTCCTTTCCTGTCGATTCTTAACTTCAACCTACTACTTGCGGCCAGAACGTAGTTTTAGAATCACGTCTGAATACATAATGAAGAAGAGCAGTATTTAACCGCGAAGTTCTTCGGTCCTAGAGAGAGAGATACCAGGTATTTTGGCTGCACGCGTCCGCCTTTTTTAGGCTACTCTCTCGTAAGCTATTATCACGATTGGCCGTACTTAAGATCGTTGATAGCTTCGCAGTCTATTAACGTTAAGGGGCCAACTCTGTTCGAATTTTTGATAGCGTCGGCTATACCTCTTTAGTTTAAATTAGTTTAGTTGTAAGGATTATGTTAATTTTATTAACAGTTAAATCTTAAGTTCCTTTCCTGTCGATTCTTAACTTCAACTTACTACTTCCTACCAGAACGAGTCCTAGAATCACGTCTGAATATATAATCAGGAAGAGCGGTATTTAACCACGAAGTTCTTCGGTCTTACAAAGAGAGTTACCAGGTATTCTGGCTGCACGCGTCCGCCTTTTTTAAGCTACTCTCTCTTAAGCTATTATCACGCTCGGCTGTACTTTAGGCCTTGATAGCTTCGCAGTCTATTAACGTTAAGGGACCAAGTCTGTTAGAATTTTCATAGCTTCGGCTATACCTCTTTAGTTTAGTTCAGTATTATTTTTAGTCTCTTAAGTTCAAAGCCAAAGTGTCGGCTTTATTGTACACTCGAAGACGGAGTTTTGTTAAACCTTAGTTGGAATAATAAAGGGTTAGTTTACCCTTCTATCTTGTTGTCTCGTGTCACACGAACTCAAGCGATTATTCACTTATCACTTCTTAAGATTCTTCACTTCCAACAGTAACTCAGCATTACACTGTAAGGAACTGTACAACATAAAGTAAGAAATTTAGAAACAATTTTTCACAAAGATCGAAAATTGAACTTCATAAGTAATAAATTTTAATAATCCTATAATTGCAATAAAGAATTTAATAAATGTTAAAACCAAAACTCTTCAAACAAGCGATACCCCAATTGAAAAAAACCAATGAAATTTAATGTTCTTTTTTTCTATTTCTATTTAATTTAATGTTCTTTTTTTTTTTTTTCTAAGTTAAAAATGTTTAGTTAAAATGTTATTAATGTTTTTTAATTTTTTTTTGTTTCTTTAAATTAAATGTTCTTTTTTCTTTAAATTTCATTCATTCTTTGAATTGGGATATTGCTTGTTTGAAGAGTTTTGGCTTTAACATTTATTAAATTATTTATTGCAGTTATAGGATTATTTGAAATTTATTAATTACGAATTTCAATTTTTGGTCTTTGTGAAAAGTTAGCTCTAAATTTCTTACTTGACGTATTTGTCTTTACCGTATATATATATATATATATAATATAGTTTTTGATGTAAAATATTTCTGTTTAGATAAACTGGATAAATAAACTATAATTTAAAGTTTTAAAACGGAAACTTTACTACTATAAATAAATTTCATATTTGAAGATTTGTAAGAAAATGTAACTACTTTAAATGTTAATCTCTGAATCTGTTGATTTAGACAAACCTTTCATCTTTTTTTGTTACCTTTTAAGTAAAGAAAATCGAAAACAAACAAAAAAAAAAAAAAAAAAAAAAAAAAAAAAAAAAAAAAAAAAAGGCTTCTAAAGTTACTATTCTTTTACATATCCAGTTACTTTATGATTTAGATCTCTACTGTCACTTCTCCTTTCCGTTTCCCTACCAGAATGCAAATTTAGTCTGAGAGTACTTAAGCTGAGGGTTTGCGTTTTTTCTGCCAATATTTAATTTGTTACGCCGGTGAGAAATTATTGAGCCAACGTTGCTTTAAATAAATTGCGTAGTCTTTGATTACTGGAATTAAATTAATTTCAATATGATTGTTACTTTAAGTTAATTCGCCACAAGTGGTGATTGAGCTTGTCAAGCCCGAGAACTGCGTTTTATGCTCAGGTTCTGATTGAATAAAAAGGTTTATTTAAACTTTTTTGTCATTCCAAACACAGTAATAATTCGCTCTAAGTCTGTTGGAAGCTTGATATTCGTTTAGGCTACAAAAGCAAACTCTATAGATTTAAAATAAATATTTTATTACTTCGTTTACTTAATAATTACACAGATTCTGTACGAAATTTAAGTTTTCTCAGTTTATGAAACCAACAGAAACAAAATTGTAGCAAAATTTAAGTATTACAATATGGCATTGACAAGATAAAGAGAGCTTTAAAGGAGCGAGACGGCCAGCGCTGTCTTTCAAAATCTAAGCTTAAATACGTTATTAATTACATCCTGCTGAAAGTGACAGTAAAAGAAAAATGTTAAGATAACTTTTAGAGCTTCAACTTTTAGTTAACTAACTTAACTTTTAGAGCTTCAACGAAAATATCCATTTTGACCGCTATCGAATGCAATTAAACGATGTTTTTGCGCGGCATCTGTACATAAGGACAGAATAAAAGACTCTTTTCCTATAAAAAATTATAAAACTGCTTTAAAATGAATTTTGAAGAGAAATTTTCGTGGCGTCTGTACGAACTATGTACGTACGTTCTCGCATAACTCAAAAACGAGTAGCCTCAGAACGTTGAAATTTTGTATATAGGGACTGCTATAACATGTAGATGTGCACCTCGTATTTTGGTTGCAATCGGCCGAACTAAACGCATATAAATTTATATATATCCACTCTGTTAACCGGCTCAGTAATCTCAGTTTCTTTACTCTTATTATGTTTATAAGTTGCGCCTTTTTTGCTTTAAAAATGATTTTATTATATTGTTCCTATTTTCCGGAACGCCTTATTTCATTATTGCTAGTTAAATCATGTTTAATCCTTTCTAGAATTTTTTCGAGGAATTAAGTGTTTCGGATTTACTTCGTAATTTTTAATATAGATATTTTGAGTTTTTATGTATTTCTGCCTTGTTGTGGAGTGAGAACTGTATTAACTGAATGAGGAATACTGAATCGTCTGTAAGAAACTGTTCTTTTTTGTTTTGTTTGCTTAATTTCTTTTATGCATCATTCTAGCTTTATTATAGTATTTGAATAGAACATGTGGCACCGATTAGGTAATTCTTCAAATGATATAAATTTTGTGCATTCTGAGTCATAATATGAACGAAATATAACGCTGTTAAGTGAACCTAGCGCCAGAGTGTCTCTATGGTAAACAAATATAGTGAATTTTAAAGAGGGCATTTATTCTATTGTGGTTTATGCGCTATCGACGAAGTAGATATAATTCAACCCAATAAGTTTAAATGAAATGCAAGAAACAATGAGTATAATTTAATATTCCGTGCGAGGAAGTCATGTGGTGTACACATCAGATTTTTTTTAATTAATTTTTTTCTACCAGATGAAAATGTAATGCAATTAGAACTGTCAATGCAGGAAACGGAAAAAATGTGCAATGCACTCGCTGGTCTCTAACCATGGATCTCTCGAATACGCGCCTAACTAAATACCACCAAAAGGCATGTTGGGAGGAAGGAGAAAATACCTTATATCCTCTCCCTTTTAAAGGGCGACTGGGAATTAGGGGACCTAGTTATGAAATCCTGGTGGTGATAAATTATTGTCCACCACATTTTAGTTCTGGCACAACTGTAGAGTAATTAGTATCGTTTGAAGTAGGAGACTAGGAAAATGTACAATGCTCTCGCCGGGACTTGAACGGGGACCTCTCGAATAGGCACCGATTAATCAATTTCATTTTAAAGAATTAATATTTTATAGTAATTAATAATTAATGAAAAAGGAATTCTGATTTTTATTAAACTTTAAGAATTATTTGTGAGCGTAGTTCAGACAATTGAAAATGTAGGCTGAAAATATGATATATAGTCTTCGATCCTTCAAAGAATGCGCTGACTTCAAGCTCTGATATATGCTTCTGAAATTTAAAGAATGAACGTAATAATGTCTAAAGGATGAAAATGTATGTTTAAAGGATGAACATAAATTTTAGCAATTTAAAGCACTCGTACACTGAAAAAAATAATCATGCTGTCTCAGAATAAAATAATTTTACTAAAAAAAAAAAAAAAAAAAAAAAAAAAAAAAAAAAAAAGAAAAAAAAAAAAAAAAAAAAAAAAAAAAAAAAAAAAAAATAAATATTTCTGAACATTTCTGCAGTTTAAAGTTTTTAAATGAAGTATCTGTTTTAGGTAAAACAGAATAGTTAAACTTTCTGGTGATGCAGAACGAAATATCTACTTCAAATTCATAAAAAAAGTTTAGAAAATTATCTCACTAAAACGTGTTAGCAGTTTTTAGTAAGCTACAATTTTTTTCACTTTTTCTTCCTCAGAATAAATGTGTTTAATCTCCCATACATCTTTGAACGGAAACTAATCTAATTTATTTAATTTTTAAGAAGAATACATATCACAATTTAAAGTTAAAAACGAAAAAAACATTAATTTCCTAACTGAATAAAATTGGATTCAACTTCTAACGTTTCCGAAAGATAAAATAACTCCAAGAGATAAAAATAAAAGATAATAACCAATAAATAAAATAATAATAGTAATAATAACGATAATAATTACCGTTTAATTACAAGACGTGAAGCTCATCTAAAAAATAAATGTGATCAAATTTTTCTGTGGAATGTACACTGCTCAAAACAATTCGGAGTATTATGTTTCTGGATATACACTGGGGATAAGGAAATGCTTTGGAAAAAATATAAATCAGTGTTGTAAGATTTGAGAAAAGAAAGAGAA